GTCATTTCTCCCCCTCATGAACATACTATAAATTTCGCGATATACTTGGGACAATTAAGCCTAATGAGTTTCCGTTGTGTAATGAGTTTCCCTTGTGTACATGTTACACAACGTGAGATTCTATCAGGAAAACTCGTTGTGTCTTTTGCAATATTAAACTTTGTATCAAGTTAGGACTAGGATGGCTAATCCTTCTTGCCATATAGTGTATAATTTTGTGTGGTATACCATTCTGGTTACCATGGCTATTTTGCCTCCTATCATATTGATCTCTGGCATAGACTAGATCAATAGAGAATGTAGTCTCGACCACTTAGACGATTTTAATTTAGGTACTCTTATTCCCTTTTTGTCCATTGTTGGAAACCATTTTCTCTTCTTAATTCAAAATGGACCTTATAGGGTGAATATAATGCCATTAAGGCAATGCCTTGGTCGAGTTTCTTTTCCTTTCTTTCAAGGAATGACCAGCTGAGTTCAAGAGTATTTTATGCATCATAACTGAGCCTGGATGGCCGAGTATGTCGTGCCATTTGTTAAAGGCATCTTTGAACTCTTTGGAAATAATGAGTTGGGGTATTACCCACAATCATATTTATCTTGGCACTATAAAGGCCTATAGATATAGCAGGGATAGTCTCTAGGACTTTCTTATGGCCTTGGGCATTATCATAAATCAAAAGGAATTCTTTCTTTCCTTCGCCCATAGTTTCAATATGTAGACCATTCATATGAATGTCTTTGAAACTTGATAAATTCCACTTTGATGTAGGGGAAATGTAATGCATCAGAGATTTATAGATGCGTGCCTTTAGGCATTATTAGGTTGGCCTAATGATTTTTCATCCCACACCGATGGCAAGCAGATTTGGTCGAGGCATGGGGTTTTAAAATCGGAATTATACCCACATCTAGGTTGATAACCTCGGTCTCATCCTTGACAATGGTGTGGCTGAGGTTGATACCCACGGCATGACCCTGCCATCTTCCATGGCCTTTCACATGGTTATGGTTTGACTCTTTATTTGGCTCTGTGGCCGCATCTGCCATAGGCAGTGCCTTAGATCCAGGAGGCCTCATCTCATTATTCCTTATGAGTAACTCCTTGCTTTGCTTAGCAAGCAACAAACAAGAGATTGAATTTGCATATGTAGAGAAAAACCCTTTTCTCAGTATTATTGCTGAAGCAAAACATTGCTTGTGGAATGTAGAGAATTTCTTCTCTAACATGTCAGCATATGTGATAGTCTTTCCACAAAGTTTCAACTTTGAGACTATCATGAATAGAGCCGAATTATGCTCATCCACAGAATTATAGTCTTGGATATTTAGGTTCCTCCAATCATATAGGGCCTTTGGTAATAGCACCATTCTGTGGTGATCATATCTAGATTTCAAGATGATTTTCAACATCTGAATATTTAATGTGCAATTCAAACTTTCGGGATTTTATGCAAGCAGTAGAAGCTTTAAAGCATATGATTTCAATAGGGTTTTCAGCCAAGTCATATAATCTATTTGCTTAAGGAATGAGTATGATCAATTGATCTTTGCATTTAGTATGATCAATTGATTAATTGATCTTTGCATTTAGTAATATATTTGCTTAAGGAATGAGAAATGACAGAACCCGTGGTCCATGTACATACTACATATTTCGAGAACTATGGTCTATGAACATATCCTAGACGGCTTGGCTAAACCCTTTGATGGTTGACGACTAGCCTAAGACTTGGGGACATCATTTACATGTATATAAGGTTATGCATCAGGCCATAACACAAATATATGTGCCATCTAAGGATCATGTGATCTTAGAAAGAGGATTGGGAATATATGTTGGATATATATATATATATATATATATATATATATATATATATATATATATATATATATATGAATATACTTTCTCCATAAGTTTAAAAGAAACCTTAAGCCAAAATGGGTGATCTAATTATGGGCTAAGGAAAAATGATTACATAAAATTTATGAATCCCAATATCCAACATTGAAAGGAGAAAAGTAATAAGCTGGTTAAGAATGATATCAATCATCAATGTCTTGGCAAAGATCCTCGGACTAGAAATGATTTATAGACATTCATATGCTATGATAAGCAAAATAATATGCCAGACACATTTGACCCGAGAAAGAATGACTATGTCATCCCAGCTTAGCACCACACGGTTTTGATGTCTTAAAGACACAACCAAGTTTGCTACAGAGTCTAATATAAGTTCCAAATAAAGTCCCATAAAATCTAAGGGACCTCGGAAAGTAAGAAAGGTGCATGAGATAAAATCCGAGTTTTATTAATGGAAACCATTCCAGACATTGAGATATAAGGCTGGCCAGCTGAACCGCTAGGTACCATACCATATAGCTTGGGACGCCAAGTTATAAGGTTACAAAGGTCCTAGATAATGAAATCTCAAATTGATGTTATACCATGTCTGGAAACTAAGAGGAACACATATATAAGTGTGTCGACACATACATTCAAAATTAATGCGCAAAAATGTAGCACATAAAGTAAGTATGAATCGAGGATCATGAACCCACATATGAGTACTCACCATAATGAATAATAAAAGGAAATGTGGGGTTTCTATAGTGATATAAAAGGCGTGTTTGTATTGGCCATATATGTAAACGCCATATGATGCCCAGTGAATAGATGAATCTTGAAAGATAGATAAATCGTGAGATTGACCGGGAACGGTCTATGATATCCAAAGTGGTGGATACTACTACTACACATTATCACTACATATGATGTCTGGAAGAAATTCAAAGATGTAGTATGTCTCACTGGATGATGATAAAATTTTTGGTTCATCAAATTGATATTACCAAGTATTTGAGCTCAGAACCAAAAGATGAGAAAGAAGTTCTCATAAACAGCATTTGTCTAAAGCTGTTCTTGGACTGAACTCTATGTAAATTCAAATTTGTCCATAGAGGAGTTTTTCTAAATTCCTTGTGTTTATACTAACCAGCCTAAGATAGGTTAAATGGTTATTCATTAAACCTTAGAAAAAGGTTATAAGACCATCACCATAAGTTAACCAAGTTTTGGTAATGATTATGATTAAAATTGAACTACGTCCGACTTGATCCTCGAAAGAGGTACGTAGGCAGCCTTTCTTAAGGTCCAGTCCCAAATCCTCTCAGCATATAAGATGTATAAGCTATAAGCTATACAATCAAAGTTCATGTTTGAACAAGAGAAGTAAACCGCATTATGCGTCCATGTCCGACCCAACCGGTCCGACCATATTTATAAAGATTCTGGTTCATGATTAAGCTGTAAATCATGAATGTAATTGGACATCATTTTATGACCCATAAGGTCAAAAGTCACAGCCATGTATAGACTAGATCAATCCAACCGTCCATACTAAGACTGAAAAGTCTAACCAATATGATCTATGTGCAAAGTTGACTATGGCAAAGAATACTATACTCATAATATAAGGCATAGCCATAAGAGCTAGATAGCCTAGACAATGATGATCCATATTAGCCTACCACATATTATGAAAAGGCACATAAGAATGATTTGGTTGAAGACCATAATCAAAGACATGAGTATAAAGTGGTACATTTTTCTAAGTACCATCAGGATTCTAAGAGACATGATATGTCCAAACAATGCAAGATTGTTCAAGTAAGAATCCCAGAACATTTATCCAGCAAGTGATGTTAACATCAGGGGGAGTAATATGTGTTGTACTCTTTTTCCTTATCTACGGTTTTCATTTTTCCCACCTTGGGTTTTGGTTTTCCTAGAAAGGTTTTAATGAGGCAACATTAAGCATATTATGAACTCATATGGTTATGGCATCCAAGGGGGAGTGTTATAAATCCATTGTGTGGATTGTCCATAACCACATGCTTCACCAAGTACAAGAGGAGGTTTACACCAGACCATCTATACCACATCCGGTCCGTCCAAGACTTAACCAGCGACACATTGAACCGAGCCAATCCGAGTCCGCCCGTAGAGGTTCAACCAGCCGGCCATGCCTTAGTCATCTAGCTTTCTCTTATGCACAATCTTATGTAATAAATGTGGTCAAAGGTGTATTCAATGCTCCAGATATTTTGTCTCTTGTAAACCCTTGTTTCTCACCGCTACAGCTTGTCGTCTTGTGTAGAGAGGCTTCACTGGTTGAAACTCTTGCACACAGTCTCAAGCGGATGAGAAATAAAAGCATTGATATGGGTCGAATTTGCACATCCTCTCCTTGTTTGATATTCTGTAACAAATCCCTTTAATATATGTAAGTTCCTTCGAAATTATATACACAACATTCCTCACATCTCTCTCTCACTTGCAAACAATATCAGCCTCATTTTCTCTAGTTTTATAACAATCCTAATGTTTTGGTTCTTTTTTCTTAATTTTTACTATATAGTTTTATCTTAAATACTCATTCCCTTTCAAAATATTAAATGTTTTCTATGAAATAATATATTTCTAAAATTATTTTTATTTAAAAAGTACAAGGACAAATATAAATTATAATCAGTTCAGTTAATTATAAAATACACTAAAATATAATTTGATTATATCGTTTCTAATTTAGCTAAAAGTTACCTAGAAAACTAAAATATTTTATATTTTGAAACATCAATTTTTCTGGATGTGTGTTCTTTTCTTTTTTGAAACTGACAAAGTTGGATGTGTGTGAACTGGTATTCTTCCTTTCTCTGAGACATAAGTATTTCTCTAATGTTTTGAGTTCTTGTTTCTTGATTTTTTATTTCGCTAGAATTCATCTTTAGTACTCTTTTAATTTCAAAATATACGACGTTTTTTTTTTTGTTTGTGAAAATCAGTACTGTTTTAAAAAATATTTTATCTAAAATGGTACAACTAAATACTATAAATTAAAATCAGCTCAAATACATTAAAATATCACTGAATATATAGATTTTAATATAGTTAAATTACTTGGAAGCTAAAACATTTTCTATTTTAAAACATCAAAAATTCTCCTAATTAAATATTTATATTTTGAAACGGAGAGTATTATATATTTTGCATTAAAAGCTTATGATGTTTTCGAAGTAATTATCATTGTAGCATCTGCACAATAACGATGAAATCGAACGGTCATAAATGAAAAACAACAGGCTTCCGGATCAAGCAACGTGGCTCAACCTCGTCTCGACTCCTCTCATAGTCACGGACACGTGTGGTCAAGCCAACTTAGTTCATATACTCTCTCTTCTCCCTACTACCAAAAACAATGTAATAACAATTTCAAAAGACGGTGGTGAGAGAGTACAAGAAAAAAAAGCAAGAAGATAATTCTACGGAAAAAATGTTTTCAGCTATAGGAAGTTTAGTGAAACTCATCTTCAAGAACTTGGACGTCATCGCTGGGTAACTTAATATCAACTCTTAACATGTAACCAAAGTTATTTTACTCGTTTTAGTTCTTTAATTTGATTCTTTTTTGCATGTGTTGGTTGGTGTGTGCAGACCTATCATTAGCTTGGTTTATCCTCTGTAAGTCCAATATATAACTTTCTCTATCTGATTTACTCACCTTTCATTTGAATAAAAAACTTTTGGTATATACTTTTATTTAGATACGCATCAGTGAGAGCAATAGAGTCTAGGACCGGTGGAGACGACAAACAATGGCTCACTTATTGGGCTCTTTATTCACTTATCAAACTCTTTGAGCTCACTTTCTACAAAGTCATCGAATGGTAAGTTTATTACAAAAAATAATTTAATGAGGTTTCCTTGATCTTCAAGCTTCTCTCTCTGAAATCAAAGTGAACCATATGTATGTCTATATATATTTTTAGCTTACGTGGAGCCTAAGTAACGTTCTTTAGGAATTCTGATGAACTAATGTTTATATTATACCTAAATCAACATCACAATATAGTATATAGATTGACCTAACCATAAGATGGTGGTGCATATAATCATAGATTTACATTCTATTTAATACTACCTCCATTCCATGTTTTATCAAAAACACAAGAATCAAGAAATTTGCTTTCTACCAAATAATAATAGATATTTATGGGGGATAAACCAATCATAAATAATAAATTATACAGTAAAATATTATTAGTCAATCAAAGTACTTTAAAACTGTCAAAACATCTTATATTTTGGAACATTAAAATTTTTCTAAAACATCTTATTATATTTTGGAACATCAAAATTTTTCTAAAACATCTTATATTATAGAACGGATGTAGTAAGATATCGTAGATGTTTACAACAAAATTTTGGGGTATGCAATTTTTATTTTATGCGAACTAACTAATGTTTTGAGGTTAACTTTATGATCAGGATACCGTTATGGCAATACGCGAAGCTAGCTTTAACCAGTTGGTTGGTGTTACCGGGCTTGAGCGGCGCTTCTTATCTCTATAATAACTATGTGCGATCATTCCTTTTAAGCCCACATAGTGCTAACGTGTGGTACGTACCAGCTAAGAAGGATGATGATGACTTGGCAGCAGCTGCTGGGAAATTTACTCCGGGCGAGCCTACAGAAAAGCATGTTAGCTCGGTATGACTTCTAAACTATGTCTATAATTTTGTTATGACCTAAGTATTGTTTGATCTGAAAACTTGATGTTTTGTTAAATTGTTTCTATTTTCACAGGTGGATACATCAGCCAAATATGTTGGTGGCTCGGCCTTTGATGATACATATGTCTACTAGTAAAGCTACTCGTGGCCTGTTGTAACCTTAATATGGTTACCCATCTTCGCATACCATATAGTCTGTATTTTCCTTTTTATCTTTGTTTTTTTTTTTTTAATGTGGTAGATGTGTAAGCAAGAAAAGAATAAAATTTCTAACTTCACCAAGAAATATGTTAAGTTTCGTTAGAAATGTATATTATCATCATGGTAATACTCAGCTAAGACACCCCCACGTGATGGTGTTACACATTACAGTTCAACATTGTGAACTGAGAGTACTGTAACTCTGTAACCATAACGAACCAAGACAATGCATCTTGCTGGTGTAACAATAATAAAAAAATGTCTCTTTCTTTGGTTTTAAAATATAGAGATCTAAAATATATAAAACCTTCCAATCTAATCTAATATAATTATAGTTCTTCAACAATCCAGTGTATTTGATATGATACCAATTTTGTATTAACTACTTATGAAACTAATATTAATCGCAAAATATATAAAGAAAATAAAAGAAAAAGTTAGTTCACGCGAGACATCATAACAACTAAAATAATTTTTGAGTTATAAAAGTCTTTCTACCTTTTGCACTTTTTCTACTTTCTCCCTGTTTCATTCGCTCTCCGTCTTTTGCTCTGCTTCAGTTTCTCTTCCCAACAAGGAAAAGAACAACAAAATATTGCATTGCATCTGAGTTTCCGAGGGAGAAAGAGAGTTTCTTTGGTTTTGGAGAGGGACTAAAATGGCGACGAACATTGGTATTATGGACAGTGCTTACTTTGTTGGAAGAAACGAGATTCTTGGTTGGATCAATGACCGTCTTCATCTCAATCTCTCTCGCATCGAAGAGGTACATGTTATTAATTTCTTGGAAGTATCTGAAGATGGTTGGTTGGTTTACCTTTGGTTCTGTCTGATAAGTGATAATCAAGGTGTTTTTGAGTGTGTTAAGATGCAATGAGTGTTCTGTCTTGCTATTTGTTTTGTTGCTTAATGCTTAATTACTGTAAGCAACTTATATTTTTTGTTAGGGAAAATAACATAAAAAACCTTTAAAGTGACACTCACTAACACTTTAAACCTTGAACTTATTTAACTAGCATATTGAACATTCAACTTGACATTTGTATCACAAAAAACCTTCAACTTGACTTACTTGTTCGTCAAGTTAAAATTGTGACTTGTTAACCTACAATAGTAGGTCACATGTTTTTTTTTAATTAATAATTGCAATTAGCAATTAAAAACCTAAATAAAATTAGAAAATTAAAGAAAAAATTCTAAAATTGAATTCAATAAAAATCAAAAATATTTTCTTAAAACTTCAATGTTTTTAAATTGAAAATTTTGCAAATTAGAAACTTTTTTTTTTAAAAAAACATCTAAAACTATTAAATTTTCTCACAAAAAAATAAATAATTTTAAACATTATCACCATTATCTTGAACACTCTTTTTCATATCATTATTAAGATTAACATATTTGGTTATATCGCTAGTGACAATAGTGTCAATATCATTGTTATTTTTATATAAGAAATTATCATCGTTAAAGATATCAATAAAATTAAACGTTTTAAACTTACAAAACATTCTTATTAATTCTGATATGACGAAAAGTGCTCCTTTTACTAGTGGTATATCCACAATTTATTTTTGAATAACATTTTAAAGCATTTGCCTTATAAGCTTCTTAAATGTTTAGTTAATAATAATAACATACAAATAAATATGAGTTAGAGGTTATCTTTGATATTGAAAAAGTTGTATTAAGAGTTAAAATGTTCATATAGAAATCATCATATAGTTGTCATTTTTTATTAACAAAATAAAAAAAAAATCTATCAAGATATTAAATTATTAGTAAGATACATTAATATAATTATGGGGATAATAAAATTGCTTTAGTTGCTATTAATATGACCATTAATAATAATGTCGTATGGTTAGAGAAAATAAAGGGAAGAACAAAATATTAAAAAAAAGGTCTAAACAACTTTCATAGATAGATTTTTAAAGACTCATTCCCTTTTAATTGTATTGATATAGTTTATAGAAATATACACTCATATATCACAAAATTTCATTTAGAATAAGAATAAAACACTTGTAAACTCTTAAGAAGATATTTTGATTTTTTTTTTAAATTAATATTTTTGAATTTTTATGTACTTTAAAACAAATATTTTTGAAAACTTACACCTTCAAAAATTAAATTTTAAGAAGATATTTTGGTTTTTATTAAATTCAGTTTTAGATTTTTTCTGTAATTTTCTAATTTTATTTAGTTTTTTTATTGTTAATTGTATTTATTAATTAAAAAAACAAAAAAACAACATGTGACTTACTATTGTAGGTTAACAAGTCACAATTTAAACTTGACGAACAAGTAAGCCAAGTTGAAGGTTTTTGGTGATACAAATGTCAAGTTGAATGTTCAATATGCTAGTTAAATAAGTTCAAGGTTTAAAGTGCTAGTGAGTGTTACTTCGAAGGTTTTTTATGCTATTTTCCCTTTTTTGTTATTGATTATTCCGGGTTATATATATTGTCTAATAATCTACATTTGTCAGCATGATACTTACATGCCTATAATATTGAGTAGGCTTCAAGCAAGGGCCATTAAGTTGATCATGATATGTGTTAGATCTGTTTCTTTACTTTATTGTTTTAAACCAAAACTTACAAGTAAGCATTGAAACTGTTGTAACTCGTCTTGCTTGTGAGACTGTTTATACAAGTGGCTTATAATTGGCTTTTTGTTTGGTAGGCTGCATCCGGTGCTGTTCAATGTCAAATGATGGACATGACCTTTCCAGGGGTTGTCCCAATGCACAAGGTACATTTTTATATGCATCTCTTGTTTGTTTCTTTGCATAGAAATCTAACTCTTCCACTTTTCAGGTTAACTTTGATGCAAAGAACGAGTACGAGATGATACAAAACTACAAAGTCATGCAAGAAGTCTTCACCAAACTGAAAATTACAAAGGTAATTAATTATATATTCATATATTTGGCTTCTGTGAGCTAATGCCTTCAACATATTATGTCACTTACAATATTGTTGTCTTACTCGAAAAATACATCAGCCATTGGAAGTCAACCGGCTTGTCAAAGGCAGACCACTAGACAACTTGGAGTTTCTACAATGGCTGAAACGTTTTTGTGACTCCATTAATGGTGGCATTATGAATGAGTATGTACTCTTTTGTTTACCTTATAACATCTCCAACCCCACTCCATAATTTACTGCAAAATGGAGTGGAAAATGGATGATGAATAAACAAAAAAGTGATTACTCCAAATATGGAGTAATGAGATTTTTTGTTTCTTCATTATTCCATTCTCCACTCATTTTGCAGTAAAATATGGAGTGGGGTTAGAGATGCTCTTAAATAATAACTAAAAGTCTTCTTAATGTTACCTCCATTGGTTTCATCATTTGTAGGAATTATAATCCAGTAGAGAGAAGATCAAGAGGTGGCAAAGAGAAATGTGTGAAGGGGTCTAGTAAGATCTCAAAGTCATTGCAAACAAACAATATGCATCAGCCTCCTCCAGTCACTACTTCCAACAAAAAATTTGGTCTGTTATTTAAATTAGCTTCTCTTATCCAGTTTATGACTTTCTCTATATATATTTTTTAGAACATTCTAAACTCTTAGGTCCCAAGCAAGCAAAATCACATGCTGTTGGAGGTGGGAGCAACTCATTAGCCGAAGTCCAAGCTCTCTCAAAGAAGGTAACTAATAGTTTTCATTCTTTTCTTCAGGTTAATGAGAAGAAATATTCTTTAACATGAATTTTCTTTTGACAATATTAGCTTGAAGATCTCAAGGTCTCGGTTGATCTCTTGGAAAAGGAAAGAGATTTTTACTTCACTAAGCTCCGGGATGTAGAGATACTTTGTCAGACTCCTGAGCTCGATGATCTTCCGGTAAGTGTCATAGCAATTCTCTTTTCTTTTTTTTGTCTTTATTCCCCTTTTGTTTGAAGTAAAAACAATGAGAATGTGATATAGTATGTATTTGTTGAAACTATAATATGTGCAGATAGTGGTAGCGGTTAAGAAGATATTATATGCAACAGATGCAAATGAATTTGCACTAGAAGAAGCTCAAGAGTGCCTAAACCAGTCTCTAGGGCTTGAGGCTGAGGAACACGAAGCAAAGATAAAGTTGTGATTCTAACAAAATCAAGTTTCAAAGAAATATCATCCATATTTACAAACCAATCAAATCCGGCTTGAAGATTTTAACGATTAATTGTTTGTTTGAAACATATGTAAAATTAAAATTACAAAACAAATAGTTGCTACACTGAGGCAAAACTAATTAGATAATGTCAAGTTGGAAAAAAAAAACAAGTAATGATATTCAAGTTTCCAAGTGCAAGATGCTTTCATTCTTATCAATAAGAATTAACTCAGCGTACGGCTTACCAAACCAGTGGTCCGATGTTACTCCAACATTGACCTTTCTCATATCATTCTTTTGAAGATCATAATAAAGAATGTAATAATTGGAAAACAACTTCCTAGGTGCCAAGATCACCTCGCCGTTTTGAGTTGTACCTAGTACCACCAATGCAATGCTTTCATTGAGTAAATTCATCTGACTAGGCTGCAAAACGAGAGACTTCTTCGACCATTCTCCACCATCTTCCAAGACCCATAAGTCCACGTTACCCATAAGTACAAGATAGGTATGATCAAAAATAGCTGGTTTTCCTCCATACTCTATAAGGGCCATAAGGTTATCAAATATTAATCCGGATAACTCTTGAGGTACTTGGATCATATTCAACTGTTCAGATCTAACATCAAAACTGACAAATTTCATCTGGCCTAAAATATTTTGCTATAACTAATGTAAAAAGTATGAAGTGGTTCATGTTCTTGGGATCTAAAATCATGATCTGAGTAAAGTTTTTAGTATTTATGGTTCTTTTGTGTGGAAGACCTTTTTATTTGGAGTACTAATCATTTTAATGGTTTCAGCTACATTTATATAAACACATATATAAATCAATTAAACTTCTGGTCACAAATATTTGGTCAGAAAATATGATTGGCCAATATTATCAAACTAAATGAAGAAAGCTTAAATTTATAGCTTAAAAATTTGGGAATCATACTGAAAATTTGGTTTTCTTCTATCATCTCCAACGCTAAATTTTCAGCCTATATATGCCCACTTAGTTTTTTTTTTTAATAAATGCCCATTAGTTTTTCTTAATCATTGATATTATAAGAGATTTCATGTTTTATTTGTATTACAGTAATGCTCACTTAATTTTTTCTTAATCAATCTTGCAATTAAAATAAAGCTTTTGTATTCCCAGGTTTATAAGAAGTTTCTACCTCTTTGAATGTTTTCGTTGTTTAAGTTTTCTTTTTCAGCACAACTTTAAAACTTTTAAAAAGTTTAGGGAAAATTTTATATTACTGGGTTAGTTATAAAAACCTAAATGGTGTAATGTAAAAACAAATAGAACTTGACATCTTATCTTTGAGATCGTTAGAAATTGTATATTTCAGTTGCTTTCCACTTATTTTTTTAATCAATCTTGCTATATTTTTTTAATAAATATTGTATAATAGTAATGTGGACACATGGATAATAGTATTATAGATTTACATAATATATAACACCAAACTTTAACCAACAAATTATACATTTCATCATATAAACCAAGTTTCAACGTTTATAAAAGTGAAAACAGTGAACGAGTGGATTAAACACGAATTATCCTTTATTCCAAGGCAGTGCAAAACCGGATGGTTGACTTAATTTTCTTGTAAAATATATCCCATCAGTTTTGGCAGTCCATATACGTAGCTGACCACATCGAGGAATAAGTCTTGGTCCCGCTTTGTACACTTGAACGTCATAAGAATACTCCATTTTAGGTCCTTGCCTTAAAATACAGGCCCACTTTGTTAAATTTGGTATCTCATCGTAGAATCTAATGATATATGGAACATCATTGAAGTTTAAGGTTTTTACACCTATATCGTCGTCCCCCGAACGACAATGAAATTGGAGAATTTTACCCGGACCAAGTTGATTATGAATTTCTACTTGATTCTTTTTGCAGGCTTCATCTAGCCCAAAATATGTAGAGGTCACTAATATAAAAAGTACAAAGTAGTTCATTTGTTTGGTATCTAAAATCATGATTTGAGTATCCTTTAGTAATTATAATTCTTTTGTGTGGAAGACCTTTTTATTTGGAGTACTAGATAAAATTCTTCTTTTTAAAATGGATTTAGCTAAATTTAAACACAAATATAAACCGATTAAACTTCTTGTCACAAATAGTTTGGCTGTAAATATGATCGGCTAATATGATCAAACCAAATGAAGAAAGCTTAAATTTATAACTAACCAAAGAATCCAAACCAAAGTAAAAGCTAAGATATAATAAAGTCTTGAAAATGTAGTATTTCAACAATATCTAGAAAGTAAATGAATGGTATGCAAAAAACAATAAAATAAATTTACAATAAAGTAAAAAGAAGAAGGTAAATTGACAAAAGTTGTCACCCATCTGAAAATTTGTAGTAAATCTTTTGTCCTCTCCATCTCCTATGCTACCATTTCAGCTTTTTGATCTCCACATTTGTGTGTGATGAAAGATTGTATTCAAGTCACATTATAGTGTATTGAATATACATATTTTATTATGTTTCATTCAATAGTATAATATAATAATAATTATTAATTAGTTCAAAATTGTAGCTATATTTAAATATACTATATTATTTGTATTCTTAATTATTTTTACATAATTAAATATTTTATTTTATTTTTAAGTAAAAATCACTAAATGATTGTTATCATTTACTTTATATTGTAATATAATATCTAAAATCATGATTTGAGTATCCTTTAGTAATTATAATTCTTTTGTGTGGAAGACCTTTTTATTTGGAGTACTAGATAAAATTATTCTTTTTAAAATGGATTTAGCTAAATTTAAACACAAATATAAACCAATTAAACTTCTTGTCACAAATAGTTTGGCTGTAAATATGATCGGCTAATATGATCAAACCAAATGAAGAAAGCTAAAACTTCTAACTGACCATAGAAACCAAACCAAAGTAAAAGCTAAGATATACTGAAGTCTTGAAAGTGTAGTATTTCAACAATATCTAGAAAATAAATTTATCGAGTGATATGCAAAAAACAACTGCAACATAAATAAATTTACAATAAAGTAAAAAGAAAAGAAGGTAACTTAACAAACTAGACATCCATCTGAAAATTTGTAGTAACTCTTTTCTTATTCTCTCCATCTCCTATGCCACCATTTCAGCTATTTGATCTCTACATTTGTTTGTTAGAGATTGGATTCAAGTCAACATTATAGTAAATAGTGATGATAAGTGAACTATTCAAAGTCACATAATAGTGTAAATAGTGATGACAAGTGAACCAACATCACTTACTTTTGTTGTTGGTCTATTAAATTTGGCCAATTAGAAATCGATGTTGCCCAATAGTTATTGAATTGTGGGACAGTGGGACTCTTCAACCCAACACATTGACCTAAAGAAAACTGTATCTTATTACTTTAGGAGAAAGAAACAAAGGGTTGGATAAAACGTGTGTGCCAATGGTATACATTCTGAGGTGTAATATCGTCATGTTCTTATCTAGCCCACGTTATTAAAAGGGTATTTTCGACTTTCCGAGTCAGCCAACTCCAACACGGAATAAACCCATCAAAGGATTAGTAAAAGGAAAATAAAAACAGCGACCGGCCGCAAAACATTTTAAAAGGAAAAATAATGCGTGTTTTAAATGTTGTTGACGTCTTCTACACGGAGAAAGAGACATTAACACGTGTATTCAGACAACAAAAAACTTTATATTATAAATAAAAAAAATACAAAACCGCAGATTACAGTAAACTAAAGGCGGTTCAAGTTTCCTTTTCCGTAACTCTTCCCATATATATACACACTTGGAGCACAAGTTCTCGTTCTTTCTTATAACTAAAAACACAAAGAAACGATTCAAAAGCTAAAAAAGACTTTTCTTACTAATGGATTACTTGAGAACAGAGTTTCAAGAACTAGAAGAAGGATCAACCATCTCTGAATCTGGAAGCTGTGACGGCTCATACCATCAACAACGACCTTCTTTTGCCGACGAACATGGGCTTATGGAGTTGCTTGAAGGCGATAAGGCTTACGATCTTATCTACCGTAACTCTAAATCTGCTCTAGGAGATCAATGCGAGCTTCTCTCGATTCTGAGAAACGGGTTTGCCACCGTTGGATCTCGTGCTAAGCTCAAGAGTTTTCAGGTTTTTCAAGAGGCGGTGGAGATGAAACATGGCGGCGGAGGAGGAGGAGGAAGTAGTAATAAAGCTAGAGTTAAATATGGTTGGTGCGATGTCAGGAAAACAGAGTTGAAATCGGTTCTTGAATATGGTTTTAGCCAGCCAAGAAACGATGGATCTTATGGCTGTGGATTGTATCTCTCTCCGGATAATGCTCTTCTTGAATGGTACTTTAAAATATTTTCAATATTTTCTGATAAAAAAAAAACTATTCCAAAAATTATTCTAGATGTGACTTAAAACGCGAATTAACTCAAACAACATATTTAAATGTAATCGGGTTAAGAATATGCACGGAGATTTAAATTACATCCAAAATATGACTTAAATCTCCATGCATATTCTTGGCCCGATTACATTTAAATATGCTTTTTTCAAGTTAATTCGCATTTTATTTGTTTTTTCAGAGTTTAATTCGCTTTTTGTTATCCACATAAAGCTTTGGTTCAATAGTCTTACTAACTGTTTTTGTGTTTCTTTATTTTTAGTTTGAAGGATTCAGTAGCTGAAGAATCAGAAGATGGGATGAGATTCATGCTGCTTTGTAGAGTTATACTTGGAAAATCAGAGATTGTTCCAAGAGGCTCTACACAGTCATGTCCAAGCTCTCCAGAGTTTGATTCAGGTGTAGATAATTTAGCTTCTCCAAGCAAGTACATTGTATGGAGTACACACATGAACACACATGTCTTGCCTGAGTTTCTTGTCTGCGTCAAAACTCCAATTAACTTCAACAGTAAGTAAAAAAAACAAACCGTTATTTCTTTTTTCCTCTGTTCAATATTCTGTTTTCTTTTTTAGTTTCTGATGTGATTTAACTTTTTTCAGGGAGTCCAAAGAGAAAGAGATCACCATGGATGGCATTTCCTGTATTGATCAAAGCATTATCCAAGATTTTACCTTCTTCTCAAATACTCATCATTCAAAAACACTATAAAGATCAGCAAGTAAATGTTTTTTTTCTTTATTCAACCGTTTTTATATTTTCATGTATCTTTTTCACACATTCTAATTGTGTTGCTTACTTTGTGTATAACAACAGAACAGGAGAATCTCAAGGAGTGAGCTAATACAACGAGTTAGAAACATAACCGGTGACAAGTTGCTTGTTCATATCATCAAAGCTTTTGGACATAAAGCACAAAACTAAAACTTAACCGCACATGGTTTGTATCTGCTGGGCTAGGATTAAGGCCGGTCCACAGATTTGTCTAAGGCTAAGCCATGTGTAAAGATTGAGGAGTTTGTGTTTTCTTTCAAGATAGTGACGAATTTTTCTTATAATAGACATTTTACAATTGATGAAAAAAATTATTAAGATAGAATCTAGTGGCAGCCCGAGAAAGTTTGGAGTCCCCCGGGACAATTTTTTTTTGGGGCGATCTAATAAATATTTCGATTTCTGTAACGACTTGTTCTTTTTATATAGCATCGTTTACACTCAATTGTTTATGAGGGCCACTCCATATGTATTTATGAAATTATGAGACATTTTTTAGAACACTAATATCAAAAGTACAAAAGAGAACTAAAATCCTAATTTACAACATATCAAACTATTAAAAATATTTTTGTCAGGAAGAATATTTATTATTATTCAGTAAAAAGAATAAAATCAATTTTTATCAATAAAGAGAGAAAATGAAGTTTTATTGAATTTCCTATAATACATTTAGTAAACTATTACTCTTATTATTATTGTTATTAAAATTTCTTAAATTTATTTTAAAATTAGCAAAAATGAAAATTTACATTATTATTTTAAAAATCTATTTTAGAAGATTTTTAATCGGTTAAATAAATATAAATTCTCTTCGATGATAGGAGCTAGGTTTTATCTTAAAATTATGAGTTAAAAAGATAAATAAAAAATTCTTTTATAAATTAAATATTAAAAAGAAAACCATGCATAAAAGAAAAAAAGCCACAACTTCTAGTTAAATGTTAAAATAGTCTCAAGTCCAACACTGGTCGCAACTCTGCAAGCACCCTTAGTTCTCCATCCATCACCCTTTCGACCTCTTGTACTCTGCGCCATGTCTGCGAGCGAAATATTAAGACTTTGTTTACTTACAAAAAGCGAAATATAGACTTTGTTTTGTAAATATAAACAATAAAAATATCATAATAAATCAATGAAATAATCCTATTATGACTTTTGCCGTATAATTTTTTGGTACTTCACTTTAAATAGGGAAAATTTACAATTGATAAAAAAAAATTATTAAGATAGAATGAAGTATTCAAGTGGCAGGATAATTAATTTTTTTTAAGAAAAAGAAAAATATGAATTAACTTAAGCAATTAAGAGCATGTTTATTAGTAAAACTCTAAAGAGTTTCTTAAGTGGGCCATTATGATTATTTAACTATTATAATTAAGCTAAGGGACTTTGTTAAGATACAATTAATTATGGTGGTTTATTTGTAGTTTCTTAATTAAAGTTCTTAACAATAAAAAAAATTAAATTTAAATTAAATTATAATTTTTTTGAAAAAGCAAAAATTTATTATTAAATAAAACAAAGTCAAACATAACATTTTAAACATAGATTTAAAAATAAAAGCATGAAAATAATTATTTGGAAAGAGTTACTACTTTGACCTTTTGTAGACGAACACAAGTAAATAATCTTCAGGCAAAGTTCTATTTTTGCTATATTCTGAGTGACCAAACACTTTCTGTTAGCTTAGCTGATATAAAGAGATGAGTTGTCGTTTTGTATACATAACAAAGTGAAAACTGTTTTGGAAAATTCTCAGAGACGAAATTTGTGCAAAACTTGTTATTCTGCCTCGCTTTTTTTTGTTTCTATCCTTTTATTTCTTGGCCATAGAAAAACAGAAACTTTATATTTCAGTTGTGGAAGATGAAGTTAGTTTTGCAAGAGGTCTTCGAGTTATAGGGTATTTATTAGAGTATTCAGCTTCATTATTTTGGAGTTACACTGCTCTCTTCTTTGATGCCTTGGTTTGATTTATGTTTTATAGTAATCAGTGTAGAGTAAGTAAGCATAGATATGCAGAGTAATGCATCCATTTGTTTTTTGATTTCTCTTAACTTCTATATGGCATGTTCTTGTCTATCAAAGAATACAAGAGACACGGTTTTTATAAATCATAAGACTATGTGCATTAAAGCTTCAAAGTAGATCCTTGTATTTCTGTTTCGATTTTCTCAATCCCATTTGTATCTCTTACAATCATGATTGTGTCATAAGCTGTGTTGAGATTTTTTTTTTTAGCTTACCTTATTAATAAGCTGCTATTTGGGTTTGATGCAGGGTGGATGTTGTAGTATTTCTCATCTGGGAGTTATAGTCTTCTTAGTATTTTCAGCGGTTTCCTTGTACTTCAAACGATTGCAACTCGCTTTCATCTTGGTATGTGTCACTTTGTTACTACTTGTTTGTATGAATCACTTTGTTACTATATTTTTGTAAGAACCCTTGACTAAAAGACTAACATTAGAGCACAAAAATGTTGATGAACCTTAACTAAGTTCTTAATTAACATTTATTATTAAAAATATCATTAAGAGACCCTAATGGAATTGTAGAGTTAATCATGCTCTAGTAAACATTTCGATTTCTATAACGACATGTTATTTTTATATAGCATCGTTTACGCTCAATTGTTTATGAGGACCATATGTATTATGAATTTATGAGACACTTTTTAGAACACTAATATCAAAAGTACAAAACATAACTAAAATCCTAATTTACTACATATAAAACTTTAAAATATTTTTTCATTACAAAGAAAATTTTTTGAAGTTTTATTGAATTTTCTATAATAAATTTATTAGACTATTACTCATATTACTATTGTTATTAATTACTAGAGTCGTTTTCCGCGCTACGCGCGGATAATACGTTTAAATATAGTAAAAATTTATGTATCATAAAATTTATAATTTAAAAATAATCTGTGAAAAATTAAAATATTTTAGATAGTTTATAAAATTTATAATCAAAACTACAAAAATAGCTGATCAAAACTACAAAAGTAGCTGATGATAATGTGGCAGTGGCTTTGTTATTTCTTAATTTGATAAACTAATATGTATTGTAAATTATTCCTCTTTATTGCCAACTGAATCAACCAATAAGATTTATCAAAAACACATGAATTATAAGTCAATATGTTGAAGTCTGTCTTTCTATAGGTAATTATTTTAACAAAGTCATTTATAATGTTTATTGTGTGTTTCCAAATAAGATTGTATTTTTTAGTATTGAGGCGTTTAACAAATTTTATTCAATGTCTCAACTAAAAAATTACAAATATTAACAATATTTTTTATCCTTGTGAGTTTTCTTTTCAATTATTTTTATTTTAGTCTTATATTTAACTGTTGTATATATTTTTACAATTTATATCATTACATTCGATTCTAAAATATTCAATAATTGAAATAACTAAAACCATAAATCATATACTTTCTAACTTTATATACATTATAGATATGAGCATGACACTTTAATAATCCACACAATTGTGGATCTTGAATCATTATACTAATTATATTATAAGATTTAGAATTATGTCATTATCAATTGAACATTGCTCATATAATTGAACAAATATTTAGTAGTCAATAAGTACACGATCACATAAAATAAATTTATAGAATTTAGTTTTTAATAAAATTCAACAATGATAAGTATAAATTTATGTTCTTATCGCATTTTAAATCTAACATGAATTAAAGTAAAATGTGGGTATAAATGCAACAAAAATGTTTAAGAATACAATATAAGCTGTATAAACTATTATTCGACAAATTAGTAAACATGATTATTATAAGTTTTAGTTTGCAGTTGCACAAATAAAAACATTACATAATATAATAAATTAATAAGAAAATAAAAGCATTACATAATTTAATAATTTAATAAAATAATGACTAAAAAGTCAAGTAAATTTATGGTTCTATACATGTAATTCATGATATCCATCACACATGCGTATAGTTCCACCTGGTTTAAACTTTTATTTTTGTTTTATGCATTGTGATTTGATCAAAGTACATTCACGTGACATTTTAAACAGTAAAACACGTCCAGAAATGTATAATCATATATTTATGATAGAAACAATATTTTTTCTTTGAACAAAAAAATAAGAAATGAATTTATAAAGAAAAAATGAATGTTATATTTAGCCGTATGTGTTTGGAGTGATGTTCTGTAAAAGTAATTCAGCCGTATGTTCTTTGACAAAGGATATCCCAATGCAGTCATCTTTTTCTAATTGTAAAGTTTATCAAATTATCACCGAAGACTTCTAGTTATAAATTTATAAACATGTGTAGAAAATGATGTATTTATATTTGGTTAAAAATTACACCATCTTTAATAATCATTCATTTACTGAAAACATTAGAATATGAATCACTTGAAATTAGTCAACAATTTTTTTTTAAAAAATGGTAATATTAGTTATAATACTCATTAAATAAAATTTAATGTTATATATATGTTGTGTTTTGGTAGTGAAGAACACTGATGTTCGTTTTTGAACATATTAAAAACCAAGGGATAGACTGAACTGCTTAAAAGTTTTGACATATTGATTCTTAGATCCCATTGCATTGGTTTATACTCTGTGTAACCGGTGCACACTGACAATCTTTGGCTGCCAGCCTGACCCATCCGATGAGGAAGCCAACAAACCAAGTTGGTCAGTAGGCCAAGAAGTCTCAGGAGATGTCTGCTTCCCATTTGCAGCATAGACCTCATTCAAAGAACACTTTTCCAGTTCACTTTCTCCACCCTAGTGTCACTTTTCTCGTAGCATTGGTATATGGGGGAAGTATTTTTGTGGAGCTGCTCGAAATTCTCCGTACTTTCTTATGATATCTCGGACTTTGATCTCACCCCTCAGCCATAATTCTGGCTCCACGACCATCTAACTAAGGTCAAATCATTAGAGCATTCTGGCTCCATGACCATCAAATAATTACTAAGAAGCTCAGTGTCCAGCCTTCGACAGCATTCACAGCCATGATTATCACATCAGAAACTTTATAAGCTGTTTCTAACATCTCAACTCCTGCAGTTGCCATCACTCTCTATCTCAAGATCTTACCTTTGGCAATTAATCATTGAAAAAATAATAAATTATCTATTTTCAGGACAACATCATTGGTTTCTCTGATACCACCAGTGTCATGAGGAGTGACAGGCAAGTCACGGAGTCTAACATTAGCTTCCACTACGTCTCGAGTAGTTCCACCGATTTCTGTATTTAAAATTTAATGTAGTACTATTTGAATAAAAGTGTTAAAGATATGAAAAGCATCATTATGTTCCATACTTTTTTCCATGCATTTAAAAGACTTGAATTCCCGACATTCTGACACCCGTTGATACTAACACAAAAGACAAAGAAAAACTGAAAATTAGAATTTAACATTCTACAAAATCAAAACTCTAACAGAGAATTTAAGAACTTGAGAAAAAGAAGAAAAACCTTGAGACTGCTAAGGACCTAAGGACTTTGCAACTTCACAATTGTTATTGTACCTAGTTGCATACTTGAGTTCTTCAAGTCATTCTCTCCTGTCAAAACCTTATACTCAGTCACCATGTTACAGTTTTTTTCTGTCTTAAAATCACCATGTTCAGATCTGACTTTTCTAGTATCCAAACAGAGATAAACAACAACAAAAAAAAAATAAGAAAAAGTGGTTACCAAGATTGGTGATGATGAGCCTACTTCAGGATTTGCGCAAGTGAGGATTATTCACAGGCACAGAAAAGACACCCCCAAACATATATCCCAAAAGCAAAACCTTCAACATNAAATAGTTACCTTTCAAAAAGCAGGAAACTTTCACCGGTTGCTAAAAAGATCCCCTTGAAGAAGGCTTGCGTCTCAACCACTTTCCAAAGAAGAAGAAGACAAACCAAACCTTTCCAAAACAGAAAACTTTTCAACTCTGAAGAACAGTTGCAGCCAGATTACGTCAGTTCCAAAAGGGTTTTACCAAAAGAAAAAAAAATCGAATACATTTCCTGGAAATCCAAGAAAACAGATACCTGGAAGTCCAAGATATGTCCTTAGATTTCTTTAAAAACATTTCCGAAATCGAATAAAGATTTAGCACTCCTCTGTGCTATATTCACTGCGATAACAAAGTCAATCAACCCAAACCCCCCAAAGTTTCCATCTTTATTTATATTTATGCGTACGGACACACCGTTTCTATCTCCGCCGTCTCGGTCGTCTTAATCGCCGCCCTGAAAATAAGTGAGCCTAGAGACACTCTTGCTCTCCTCATCTTCCACGAATCCTAGTCACGTCTTAACGAAAAAAGACGATGACGATGAGACCAAGATTGAGAGATCTGATGAGCAGCAGAAACCTCACTCTTTCCATGTCTCAACAATGATACCGGTTTGGGCGACGGAATTGACCGGACTGGAATTGACCGCCGCTTTGCCGTTAGATGACAGTGAGTCGGGAACAACGAACAAAGTCATCGCAATAAAGAATTGTGAGGATTATACAACTTTTGATGAAAATATAAACATCGAGGAAAATATTTTATATAGAAACTCAGAGGGGGAAAGCAAAGAGAATCCGTTAATGAGATTGAAGAGTGTATAGGAAGGGAGAGTGAATTGATTGTTTGTAAACTGGAAAAAGTAAAACGAAGAAACGAAGAAGATGAAGAGTAAGGGATGTGCGAATCGATTTTTAAAAATTAGGGTTTGTGGGCTTTTCGTAATTGAACGTGGCCAGGCCGTGCAAGATTTCAAGCCCAAACGACAAAGGCAAGGTCGCTGACATGGCCAGAAACTGATTTCCTATTGGTTGAATATATCTGCATACGTGGACAGGCTAAAATGGCTTTATTTGCAACTTTTATTCATAGTAGATTTAAGTTATTTTGGAAACCAGCAACAATGAAAATATTTACAATATTATATAAAAAATCTATTTTATGTGTCGTATTCGAATATGTATCGGACTACATGTAAGAAGTTTAGTTAGTTACACAAATACTAGGTGTTTTGCCCACGTATGCGGGCTAAATTATCTTTAAATCAATTTACAAAATCACCAAAATAAATGATTATTTGCATCCAAAAAATTCGACCTAAAACATTAAATTTTTTTACATGATAAAGTTATTCACAAATTAAAAAAAAATCTATTTTTCCTTTAAAAATTTGAAAAATCTAAAGTCAATTTCATTTATTCTTAATTGATAAAAATATAGGAATCTATCTTTCAGTTTGAAAAATTGAATCGATAAATATACATTCAAAAATTGAACTTACAAAAGAATAATATTATTTTGGATAATAATACAATATATTTAAATTTATTTTTGTCAAACACGTATTTGCCTCTCTTTTTGAATGATCTTTTATTTTATTATGATTAATTCATGTTTAAGGTTTAATTATATAAAAATAAATTTAATTTAACATGTGAGTCCCGAGACAAAAAATAACTTCACAAATATATATCATTATATTATAGTATTATATTCTTTTAGTTTGAAAATAGTTAAGTATTATAATTTTTTCAATTTTATCTTTTCAATTATATACAAATAAAAATTTTACTTTATGAATGTATATTTATGTGTTTTCTGTTTTTGAATTTTTTTTATTAAAATATATTTACAAGATAACAACACAATATATATAGGAATTATCTTTTTATTTTTAAATATATATATATATAGATTATGGATAACTCTTATCATTATTATTAATTTAAATTATTTATCTAATCAAATAAATACTAAATTTGTTTTTATTTTTGGCTGATTTATATATTTTATTCATTAAGGATATAAACGATATTAACCACTTTAACTTTTGACGTGAGAGCTCCGTTACGAAAAATTACTTCACAAATAATAGTATAGATATAGATAAGATTCTCATCGATGAACGAACTAGGTTTTTATCTTAAAACTATGAGTTAAAAAGTTAAACAAAAAAAAATTTCTCTTATAAATTAAATATTAATTAAAAACATGCATAAAAGAAAAAAAGCCACAACTTGTATTTAATGTTAAAATCGTCTCAAGACCAACACTGGTCACAAGCACCCTTAGTTCTCCATCCATCAACCTTAAATTTAAGTTTGCACATTTAAGTTTGCTTTTCTCGAGTTTAATTCGTGTTTGTTATCCACATAAAGCTTTGGTTCAATAGTCTCACTCGCTTTTTGTGTTTCTTGATTTTTAGTTTGAAGGATTCAGCATCTGAAGAATCAGAAGATGGGATGAGATTATTGCTGCTTTCTAGAGTTATTCTTGGAAAATCAGAGATTTTTCCACGAGGCTCTACTCAATCATGTCCAAGCTCTCCAGAGTTTGATTCAGGTGTAGATGATTTAGCTTCTCCAAGCAAGTATATTGTATGGAGTACACACATAAACACACATGTTTTGCCTGAGTTTCTTGTCTGCGTCAAAACTCCATTTAACTTCAATAGTAAGTAAAAACAAACCGTTATTTCTTTGTTGCCATTTTCTCTATTCTGTTTTTTCTTTTAGTTTCTGACATGTTTTAACTTTTTTAGGAAGTGTAAAGAGATTGGATCACCATGGATGGCATTTCCTGTATTGATCAAAGCATTATCCAAGTTTTTACCTTCTTCTCAAATACTCATCATTCAAAAACACTATAAAGATCAGGAAGTAAGTGTTTTCTTTCTTCAACCATTTTTGCTTCTTTTCAGGTAATTTTGACACATTCTTATTATTGCTTCCTTTGTTTATAACAACAGAACAGGAGAGTCTCAAGGAGTGAGCTAATACAACGAGTCAGAAACATAACAGGAGACAAGTTGCTTGTTCATATCATCAAAGCTTTTGGACATAAAGCACAACACTAAAACTTAAGCTAAGCGCACATGGTTTATATCTGCTGGGCTAGGATTAAGGCCGGTCCACAGATTTGTCTAAGGCTAAGCCATGTGTAAAGATTGAGGAGTTTGTGTTTTCTTTCAAGATAGTGACGAATCTATTCTACTAAAATAGAGACATTCTTTTTATCTACTGATACAAGTTGTCATTTAAATTTGGATCCTTTCTAGAGTGTTACAAATAATACAAGTTATATAGTTGATTGAACCGTATTACTTAAATTAAACCGGCAGTTATTTATTGAATAGAGTTTTGGGCTTACTTTTGTTTTTATGACATTTATTTGTTTGGTTTTTGGGCTTAGTATTAAATAAAAACTCCAAAAAACATTAAATAAACTTTCCACCTTAATGGATCAAAAATCAATTACTATTTTCAGGCCCAAAAATATTTAATATTTTCAACAAAATAAAATTATCTATTATTAATCACTTATTTAAACATGTTAATATTTTTTAGCCCAAAAATATTTAATATTTTCAATAAAACAAAATTATCTATTATTAATCACTTATTTAAATCATGTACTTTAAAGCATGTTAATATTTTTTATTTTAAATAACAATCCCTCTATCTTGATAAATTTTAATGGTAACTTTTAAATAATTTATTGTTTTATTTTTCTTAAATAATTTGCAGATTTAAAAAAAAAATGTAAAGCAAAACCAAAAACCAAATCTAAAAACTAAAATCCAAAATCAAAAGCTGAAAACGCAGGTTATATTTTTTGCTTTTTTTTATTTACAAAATAAATTATTTCAAAAATTTTAGAAAATTATTTTGTCATCTTTTCAGTTTTAAATTACATGTTCGATTAATTGAGATTTGTTTGTTGGTAATATCAGTTCAAACTAACTCAGCGGGTCAAAAAATTAAAAACCCAAACCAAAAGCTGAAAATCAAAAATAGAAACTTAAAAACTAAAAACCAAAAACCAAAATTTAAAACAAAATCTAAAAATAAAAACTAATGAAAAACAACTATCACCACAAATTTTGGTAAACTAATTTTATACCAAAACATTCTTTAAATTAAGACAAACCCAATTATATAAATTTTTAATTATAAAAAATTTGTCAAAATCTAGTTTTTCTTATAATAGACTTTTTACAATTGATTAAAAAATTATTACGATAGAATCTAGTGGCAGCCCAAAAAAGTTTCGAGTCCCCCGGGACAATTTTTTTTGGGGCGATCTGTTAAATATTTCGATTTCTGTAACGACTTTTTCATTTTATATTAGCATCGTTTACACTCAATTGTTTATGAGGGCCATTCCATATGTATTATGAATTTATGACACTTTTTGAACACTAATAACAAGTAAAAAAGTGAATTAAAATCCTAAACTACAACATATCAAATTATTAAAATATATTTTTGTCAGGAAGAATATTTATTACTATTCAGTAAAAAAGATACAATCAATTTATCAATAAAGAGAGAACAGAAGTTTTATTGAACTTTCTATAATACATTTAGTAAACTATTATTCTTATTACTATTGTTATTAATATTTATTCAAATTATTTTGGACCTTAGCAAAAATGAATATGATTACAATATTATTATAAAAATCTATTTTATGTGTCGTATTCGAATATATATGTGACTACTATGTAAGAAGTTTAGTCAGTTAAATAAATAGAAAATTCTCTTCGATGATAGGAGCTAGGTTATCTTAAAACTATGAGTTAAAAAGATAAATAAATAAAAAAAGTTTATAAATTAAATATTAAAAAGAAAACCATGCTATAAAAGAAAAAAAGC